GAGCTGAGGGACAGCGCCCAGGCCCAGAGTTCAGGCCCCACGACTGGACCAAAAAAAAAAAAAACAAACATACCAGAAAACATTCAGTTACTACCTTATATGGCCATATAATCCTTGTATGCTTTTCAACCTCTACTTGAAATGCTAATTTCAAGATGAAAGATAAAGTTGCCATAGAAGTGATAGCTTCTGAAGCATCTTGATGTATTGCTCTGGACACTTTTCTTTTGCCAAATGAGTTTTAAAGTGTTACCTTTTATTATATAGAGAATCATGGTGTTTTGTTATTTCTTTGTAATTAACTCTTGAGATCACATTGTGTTTACTTTTTGCTTACTAATATTAAGATGTTTCCACATCATCAGTCTTTTGACCATCTCAGGGTGGGATAGGAACATGTTTTACTTTTTTGTTCCAAGTGAGGGAACAAATAGGAATCTTTTATGTCCATCTATCTCTACTCTTGGGGCCAAAGCCACCAGTGATCATGTACATGCATGCATGGGACACTAGTTCAGATTCTCTGGTCTGGGCCATAGGGAAGAGAAGAGGGTTAAGGTTATAATCTATAATATACCTCTTGGCAAACCTGTTAAAATTATCTCATTAGAGCCACATCTTAACTTGTTCACTTGGAAAAGTCTGTTTATACCACCCTCTTCCCAATAGCTCGTCTTAAACTTGGGCAATGCAAAAAGTGAAGGCATCTTATTACCACCACTACTATCATCATCATCATCAACAACAATACTACTGAGCACTGGTGGCTCATGCCTGCAATCGTAGCTACTCAGAAGACTTGAGATCTAGAGACAGTAGTCTGAAGCTAGCCTAAGCAGGAAAGTCTGTGAGGTGCTTATCTCTGATTAACCATCAAGAAGCTGGAGTGGAGCTGTGGCTCAAATGGTAGAGCACTAGCCTTGAGTGAAAAAGCTAAGTGGCTAGGTCCAGTGGCTTATGCCTATAATCCTAACTACTCAGGAGGCTGAGATCTGAGGATCATGGTTCAAAGCCAGCCCGGGCAGGAAAGTCCATAAGACTCGAGACTCTTATCTCCAATTAATCACCAGAAAAGTAGAAGTGGTGCTGTGGCTCAAGTGGCAGAGCACTTGCCTTGAGCTGAAGAGCTGAGGGATAGTGCCCAGGTCCAGAGTTCAAGCCCCACAACTGGTTTAAAAAATAAGCTAAGGGTCAGTGTTCAGGTTCTGAGTTCAAACCCCAGGACCAACACAAACAAAACAATACTATCTAACATTCATAGCAATTCTGTTTGAATTGTTCTATATCTATTAATACATTTAATATTAGTATGCCATTTTACAGAAAAGAAACCTGAGGCAGCGTGAGATCAGTGAACTTGAACAAGGAAACACAATAACTGTTTGAACTGGTTGGTTTTGAGGTTAGGCAGTCTGGCTCAACAGCCCACCCACGGTCAGAACTGGTTTGTTTTGCAATTTGCAGGAGAAAATTCCCTCTCTCTGTCTCTGTCTCTCTGTCCCTGTCTCTCTGTCTCTCTCTCTGGGAGATAAAATGCAGGTTCACTCTGTGTTGTCATGCTGTCCCCTCCCTTCCCTCTCTTCCTCCCACCTCCTTTCTCCTATCTGTCTTCTCACTTCCCTCCCTCTTTTTATAATGTACCAAATGTGGTTGCAACTGGGAGCCCTACAAGCTGTTGTCGGTCAGTGGTGCCACCAAGTGGTCATTTGTATGTATTGCCTCTTTTCATAATTTTAGAATAATCCACTCTTGCCCCAGTTATCTCAAACAAACTATACTCCAAATTAGCATGCTGTCGTGCTGGTGGCTCACACCTGTAAACCTAGCTACACAGAAGGCTGATATCTGAGGATCGCTGTTCGAAGCCAACCTGGGCAGGAAAATCCATGATGACTCCAATTATCCACCAGAAAGCTGTGGCTCAAGTGATAGAGCACTTTTCTTGAGAAAAAAGGCTCAGGGACAGTACCCAGACCCTGAGTTCAAGCCCCACAATCGGCTGGCGCGCGCGCGCGCGCACACACACACACACACACACACACACACAGAGCCAATGTGTGCCAGAATAGTCTTGGAGATACAAGTTTGTTTCCAGGAATATCTCATTTTCAACCCCTCTTTTCCTGTATAAGGGGAAGAATTGTCTTTTCTAAGTGGTTACATTGTATTTTAAACCTCTTTTCAGCCTCCCAAATTATTACTCTGTTGCTTATGTCTACCTTTTTTTTTTTTGGTTGGTTGTGGGCCTTGAACTCAGGGCCTGGGCTATGTCCCTGAGCTCTTCAGCTCAAGGTGAGCGCTCTAGCATTTCAGCCACAGTGTCACTTCCAGTTTTCTGGTGGTTAATTAGAGATAAAGAGTCTCATGGACTTTCCTGCCTGGATGCTTTCAACCGTGATCCTCAAATCTCAGCCTCCTGACTAGCTAGGATTACAGGTATGAGCCACCAGTGCCCGTCCAATTATATCTATCTTCTGTTCCTTCTTCAGTTTACATTGCAGGGGTGCCTTTTTCCAGTTAACCCTATAAATAAGCCCTGGGTTGTTCTGAATAACAGAAAAGAGAGGGAGGAGGGAGGGAAGAAGGGAAAAAAGAGAGAGAAGGGGAGAGAGAGGGAGATGAGAGAGAAGGAGAGAGAAGGAGAGATAGGAGAGAGGGAGAGGGAGAGAGAAAGAGAGAGTGGGAGAGAGTGAGAGGAAGAGGAAGGGGAGAGAGAGTGAGAGGCAAACAAACTTCTGTTTGAACTATTACTTTGGACATACCTTCTCAAAGAAGAGTTCCCTTAAAAGAATTTCTTTGCTTCAAAGCCTCAATTGTTGGGCTGGAGGGTAGCTTGGTGGTAGAGTGTATGCTTTAGTATGTATGATAGATGGAGCCATCCCTAGAGCCCACTGTATGTGTGTGCACACAATATACACACACATAGATGAAAACAAAGCAGAATCCCTCAATTCTTTTTAGTCTCTTTCTGAATTAAGTACAAATCTCAGTTCAACATTTGTGATCCTTCAAATTTGGCCTCATTTCAATCTCTGATATTGTCTCCCAGATTCCCCTCTACTTCCCATGCTGTTGCTGTAAAGTGACAATGCTTTCAGGACCCTCATTTTAAAAATTCACTTTGCTCTTAAAGTTACAGACTATCAGAAAATTTGCTCCTTGAAATCCCATCAGTAAAGATAAATCATCCCATGTGTGTTGAGGGTAAGTTTCTCAGACACAAAGAAGTCACTTTGATTTGTAACCCAGGTGCAAAGCTTCAGATAAGGGGTATCTGAGTGCATTCCTAATGTAGTTTCACTTGTGTTTCACAAAGATATAGGAGTTTGGGTTTACTTCCCAGTTCAGACTCGATGAGGATACTATGTGATGGTCTTGCTTTGCTTGAGCCTAACAAAACACTGCAGCTTTAAAAATTCACCTGGTTGACTTTTCCTTCGAATTGTGATGATCCCATTTCTTTCTTTCTTTGGTGAGATGGCCATGTGTGGTGCTCCCCCTCCCCCAGTTTGGGTTCTCTTTTATTAATAAGGCAAAAGCTTGAGGGGCTGGGAAGGTGGCTCAGTGGTAGAATGCTTGCCTTGCATGCATGAGGCCTTGGGTTCTATTCCTCAGCACCACATAAGCAGAAAAAGCTGGAAGTGGTTCTGTGGCTCAAGTGGTAGGGCACTAGCCTTGAGCTGAAGAGCTGAGGGACAGCGCCTAGGACCAGAGTTCAGGCCCCATGGACTGAAAGAAAAAAAAAGCTTGATTATGTTGGATTATAGATTTGCCTCTGGTGTGTTTAAAATAAATGGCTAGGATAGGTTTTGTGTACTTGACCACTGAGCTTTCCCAAAATAGGCAGCAGATAGAATTAGAGTAGATGGGATCTGGTTAGATTACCTGGATTGATTATATGGATTCCAGTCTCAGTTCTGCCTGTAACTTTAATTAGCTGGATCATCTTAAATTCAAGATATCCCACTTGGTATGTTTCTCTTGCTTAAAATGGGAGATGGGGATGTTTCCTTTAATCCTAGAGCAGGGTTTTGGAGTGAGAAAGATATTGGTTGGAATCTACCACTTATTAATCTGTAACTTTTGCTTTTCTGAGCCTTTGTTTTGTAATGATTAAAGTAGAGATAATACTGAGAACTGAAATACTGGTTTTCCTGTGTCGACCAAGTTGATTGCTGCCAGCCTTACTATATTGATTTGCTATTTTGATTCCAACTATTATGTGAGATCAGAAGAGGTTCTTAGCTCTTCTGTACCTATGTATTCCTGAGCAAAAAAAAAAAAATGGAGAAATAACGTACACGTCACCAGGGCTTATGGTGAGCATTAAGTGAGACTTTCTTTTTAAAGGGGGAGTTTAGAGAAGTGGAGCTGTGGCTCAAGTGGTGGAGCACTGACCATGAGCAAAAAAGCGGAGGGACGGTGTCCAGGCCCTGAGTTCAAGCCCAGGGCCAGCACAATAAAGGGAAGCTTTAAAGCTATGCTTGACATAAAAATAAAAGGCTCAAAGTATGTACTGTAATTGTATTAGTATTAATTTCTACCACATACGATTCTAAGTGTCAGAGGCTCAGGATAAAGATTTTCATTGTAACGATAAAACCAAAACAAAGGTACTGAAAGGCTGGAAACAATGAAACCAAATGGGGGAACTGCTTTCCAAATACAATTGACACGCCCCGCGCTGGGCTAGGACCCGCCCAGTGCTCATTAAATATGGCAGCCAGCTGGGCTGCCCTACTGCGGTTGCGCACGTTAAAACTCCTCCTAGCAGCTCCTCCTTCGCCGCCGTTCCCCAGCCCCCCCGCCCCCCCCCCGCCGTCGCCTTGCCTTTCCCGCTCCCTCCCCGCCAGCGGGGCGGAGGTGCCTTGTGAGGGCCTTGCATGGCGCGCATGCTCAGACACTGGCAGGGCTGAGCTGATTCTTGTGAGGCGCCTGTCACATGAGCCTCGCGCCAGCCCCACTCCCCCTCCTCTGCGACTGGGTTGTGTGAATGAAGCTCTGCCGGCTACGTGGGGCGCTAACTCAACTTGGTGTCTCGGGCGCCAGAGCCGATCGAGCGCGCCTGCCCACCGGCGGGTGGACACGGGTTCCACAGCTCCTGACCTCGGTGACAGGTAATGGGTTGTCCCTTCCCCAACAGGTCCTTTGAGGGCCCACTGCCCCCCTGGCCCCCTCCCCTCCCCGGGAGCACCGTGGAAACACCGCGATTATGGGGAAACATCTCCCCTACTGGCTTGGCCCCCTCAAGGAGATGGGGGTTCTCCCCGCTCCTTGTCTGGCTGCCACTGCCTGGCACTCGGAGGAGGTAGACTGGCTCGTTCTAGCCGGTGCGGGGCGGCATCTTCCCCGAGAGCCCAGCCCTGTTTGCTGAGAAGGGTCCTTGGGCTGCCGGAGCAAAGTTTCTTGGCAGAGCAGCGCCAAAGCCGCCCCGCTTTTGAATCGGGGAGGTTCGCAGCCAGTGGCGTCCGCTTTCCAGGACAGGGCTAGGGTAGCATTGGCTAGTGGAGCTAAGCAGAGGCCCGGTTCTTGTCTGCCCTGGATTTACCGCACGGTTTCTGTGGTTCTTCGCAAAGTCAAACCCTTGACTCTCGGAAAAAGTAGTGGCTGGCGCGTCTTGCTTTGGCCACTAACGCACCTAGTTGGTTCTCTCCAGACTTTTACAACCTTGTGTTTTGGAACCCCCTTTCACCACTAAGCTTTACCTTTTACTTTCATACGCGTTTTACCTTCGTTAATATTTCAGAGCAAATCAATTGCCCGGAGTTCCAGGTGAAGTTGGGTGCCTGCCCTGGTGATAACGTCAGTGGAAGCTATCCAGAGTAAATGAGGGAAATTCAGAAATTGGAGCATTAAAAGCCAGTAAGCGATCGCTGTATATGAATTTCACATATTTATTAACAAACTCCCTGGATAGAACTTCAGAAATGTTATATTTCTCCTAGTCCCAGGAGCCAGACATCAGTACTTGTCAATTGCAATCGAAATAAAAGAAGGGGGAAAAGTAAACCAAAACAAACTGTGGCTAGTTTCTGATAAGTAATCAGAACGCTTTTCCCTGGTGAATTCAGCATGGGAGTTTCTTTTTTCCTTCTTTGCGCGCGCGCCTGTGTGAGTGTGTGTGTGTGTGTGTGTGTGTGTGTGTGTGTATCTGTATCTATATCTGTATCTATATGTGTACTAGGGCTTGAATTTAACTGGACTTGAGCGCTGTCCTTTACCTTTTTCCTCCCAGGGCTGGAGCTCTACAGTGTGAGTCACGGGTGACTTTTTTATATAATTAATTGGAAATAAGAATCTCATGAATTTTTCTACTCTGGCTAGCTTTGAACTCCGTTTCTCAGAACTGAGCCTTCTGAGTGGTAGGATTACAGGCATGAGCCACCAGTGAAGGGCTTGGGAGATTTTTAAAATTTATAGTTTTCTCAGATTTTTGAACTTTCCCTTATCCAAAAGCACCGGCATTTTTCCTATTGGCATTTTGGGGACTGGTGTGCACATGAACTTTTTTTTTTGTCTTTTAGAGGAAAATGGCTATTAAAAAGAGCCAACATGATTCTCAAGTTAGTATTAGCCTTCAGCCTTTGGGCTTTAGCTTTTTACACATTAGAGGTAGAGGAGCTTATTGTATATTGTATAAAATCTATGGAAATAGCAGCCTATTTTGCTGTTTACCAAGTCAAACAAGTGAGGACCTTTTTTGAGGAAAACAAAACAAAACAACAGATTGGCTTGCTAACTTTTTTCCCTCCTTTCTGGGGAATAGTTGGCCATAGAGAAATTAAGACTCATTCCTAAAAGGCCCTGCCCCATATTTTGTGTGTGTGTGTGTGTGTGTGTGTGTGTTGCTATGATGGAGGAAAATCTGAACAGACCCTGAGTGTTTTAGTAGCCTTAGATCCCATCCTTTCGATCCAATCATATTTTCATATGGCTGACTCTGCTTCACTAACAGTAAAGCTAAAAATGGTGAGTTCACCCTGGCTTTGTGGGGCTTTGTTCTGAAGGCTCTGGAGCTACATAAATAAATTTGTTATGTTTTTCTCGTTGAAAAAATTAATACATTTAGGAAATGAAGGTGTGGCTCAAGTGATAGAGCACTAGCTTTGAGCAGAAAAAGCCAAACAAGAGTGTGCAAGGCCCTGAGGTTGAGCCCCAGAATTATCTCTCACACACAAAAAGTCAATACATTTAAATTAAAAAAAAAGAAAAACAGACTGGACTTAGCCTGTAAAAAAGACCAAATTATTAAATGATTAATATTGATTCATTGAACCAAGTGTAATGTATTAAACTTCCAAATAAGACTAAGTACAGTAGTCACACTTCATTTTTTGCTCCTATTCCTAGTTTCTTTCAACCTATTGCAAATAGTATTATCCTAAGACAGGATGTGAAGTTAAAAAAATGGGAATTACTGGAATCAATGTGATTTTTCTTAAATGGCCATTCCACCTTTACATTTTTCTTTTTCCTTGGTCCATTTCCCCCTTTTTTATAAAAACAATATATGCTCACTCTAGGAAATCTGCAACTTGGAGGATAGTATATTGAAGTATAGAGGATGAAACACCACCTCCAGGGCATATGTCATCATTTTTCACTTTTAAAAATTGTCATCCTTCCTTTCTTTTTATTTTCCTATGCAACATCTATTTTAAGACTTTATCCACAAAAAATGTTGCTGTCTTTTTTCCCTATTTTGTAATGTGAAGTTGGCTGACTTACCGATTGAGGAAGAGATTGGCTATTAATGCTGCACTTGGTTCTCCAGATCATAGAACCTTGAGATAGGAAAGATACCACTGTCAGCTCATTGGACCACTCAGCCTTAAAATTCTCAACCCCATTTACTGAAGCACCAGTGATTCCCACAGAATCTCACAGAATGGCGGCATGGCAGCTCTGATTCTCTTTCTTCACCAATACCTTGCTGCTTAGAGGGGAAACTTGAAACTGTTCATGTCTGCCTATCTCCAAAAGAGGGGTTCAGAGAGGTACAGGGAATAATTTTCAAGCATTTTTTTCTTTTTAGATATTTCTTTTTCTGTTTATATTTTCAGGTTTGGGGCCCTGGTGTCTTGCAGAACATAGGACCACACAGCTGTGTTTCCATCCACACACCATTGTCTTGGGGAGGTGGGGAACTCCAGGAAGCATTGAACCAGTGACCCCAGCACAGGAGAAGATAAGTTCAATATGGCCATGTGGCAGGGTAAGAATTAGCACTTATTCCTCTAGCTGGCTTTTCCTTTTATTCTGTCCTCCATCCCCACCCAACCCCCCAAGCCAGTGGCAGGCAGCCAGCTGTTTCTTTAATTTAACCCTTTGTCTTTGTAAAGACAAAGAACATTAGTTTAAAAGAAGCTACTGCTAGCTAGAAGTTCATTTTTTTTTCTAGTGGAGGTTAGCAAGGAATTAAAGAAAATGACATGCCAGAAGCATTTAAAAGGATTTCCTTCATTTAAACTTGTGCTTGCTGGGGGTCGGGAAGGTATATGCGGAATAAGGAGATTTTTTCTATTTGTATTTTTCATGTTTTCCTACAAATTTGTGTCATAAGATTCTCAAAGGTGGGAGTGACAGATGTTGGTGCTTTGGTGGCTTCCAAAAGAAGACTACCTTGGGGTTTAGACAGTTTGAAAAAGCACATTTAATGTTCTAATGTTTATATTTGGTGACAGAGGGAAGATGTGTATTTTAACAATACAAACTACTTGAGAGCCAAGCTTACCAGTGTCTTGGCATCTCTTGTAAATCTGTGAATTTCTAGCACATGCAAACTTATTTTTTTAGAGGGGTTGAGGATCAACTCTTTCAAGAGACTATCAGAATCTTGAGGAGTGCGTGGGATTTTTATGTTCAGCACATGGGAAAGTGGGCTTAAGAAATGTAGACAAATACTACTGAAACTGGTTTGTGACTCACAAAAGGTTAAAGGCTGCTTGAATGGAGTAGAGTGAAATAGCTTGGATATCTATAAATATTCAACAACTGGGTTTGGTGTTGGTCTAATGTATCTTTTAAAAATGTTTGATTGTGCATGTTATAGTTTAAAAAATGTAAGTACACAAATATAACAGTTATGATGTATAGGGATTGACAATTTAAAGACATTTGTTGAAATGAGATTTGGCTTGTATATCAGCTTTAATGACCATGATAGGCATTTATTAAGAGAAGTTTAAGCTGTTTCCTTGTAATCCTAGTTACTTAGGAGGCTGAGATCTGAAGATCCTGGTTCGAAGCCAGCCCATGTAGACAAATCTGAGAGATTCCTATTTCCAATTAGCCACTAAAAAACTGTTACTAAAAAGTATAGTTCAGGACTGGAATATGGCTTAGTGGTAGAGTGCTTGCCTAGCATACATGAAGCCCTGGGTTGGATTCCTCAGTACCATATAAACAGAAAAAGCCAGAAATGGCTCTGTGGCTCAAGCAGTAGAGTGTTATCCTTGAGCAAAAGAAGCTCAGGGCCAGTGCCCAGGCCCTGAGTTCAAGCCCCAGGACTGGCAAAAACAGTGTAGTTCAAGTGGCAGAGTGCCAGCCTTGGGGGAAAAAAAAGCCAAGCAAGAGCACTAGGTCCTGAATTCAAGCCCTAGTACTGACCAAAAAAAGAGAAAGAGAAGTTTAGATATTCTCACATAAATCCTGAGACATTCTTTCACTCAATAAACAGTATACAGAGATATGAATAAGATGCAGGACCTTGGAGGGTTCCTTATTGTCTGGGAAAGACAGACATAGGAATAAACAATTGTATAGCATTGGATAAGTTTTAAATAGGGAGATGGAAGTCTGGAGAAAAGCATGATGAACTTCAAGTTCTGAGCTGATCTGAAAATAAATGAGTAGCTAAGTGTGGCAGTTTATGTCTACAGCCCTAGCACCAGGGGGTTCACAAGAGGCTAGAAAGTTTGAGAGTAGCCTAGTGAATTCCAGGCTAGCCTGAGCTAGATAGGCAGATCCTGTTAAAAAGAAAAGACAGAGAGGGAGAGAGAGAAGGGAGAGTGGGGTAATGAAGAGATAAAGACAGAGAGACAGAGCGTGAAAAAGCAAGAGAGAGCAAGAGAGCTAGAGAGAGCAAGAGAGAGGGAGAAAGAGAGAGAGCGAGAGAGAAAGAGAGAGCGAGCGAGCGAGCGAGAGAGAGAGAGAGAGAGAGAGAGAGAGAGAGAGAGAGAGAGAGAGAGAGAGAGATTGACCAGATGGGCAAATGAGAGTGTTGCATTCTGGGCAGACAGAGCAGCACTGTTTGGGAACTTCCAAGTTGCTTTGTTTGCCTGGTGTGAAATGTATGGGGGCATGACCTCAGATGAAGCAAGGAAGGTAGTCAGAGGCCAGAAAAGAAAGAACCTGTATGTTCTAGGAAGGATTTTATACTTTATACTGGAGACAAAGATTCTAAACAAGGAAGTCACACAAGGCAGACTTCGTTTTTTTAGAAAGATTACTTTGGCAGCAGGGCTGACTGTGGTGTTGGAGTTGGAGACAATGAAAGCCTGGATTCATTCAGGAGGTGTCTGGAATCATGATTTCAGGGTGAGATGACAAGGATCTGAAAAGAAGCTGGGGCAATGAGGTTAGAGAGAATGAGGTGAGCTCTAGAAGGGTCTGTGTCTGCTATGATTGATAGCCAATTTAGGCCTGGGGGCTAGTAGTATCATTATCTGGGATGGGGAGTATCATGATAGAAGCTAGTGTTCTGCGCTTTGCTTTGACCAGCTAAAGTTGAGATGCCTTTGGGCTGTGGGGTCGATATTTCAAAGGCAAATTTGAAATATGGAACTAGAGTTTGTGCAGGTGGGGATCTAAAGATTTGTTCCTAAAGATGACTAAATAGCTGGCTTTATTTTTCTCTGTATTATGTGTAAATATCATTAGTCATTAATGATTTACTTATTTTATAATAAAAACATTTTAATATTCAACAATTCCTTTTTTTAGCTGGTTCTGGGGCTTGAACTCTGGGCCTAGGCACTATCCCTCAGTTTTTGTGCTCAAGGCTTAGTGGTCTATCATGTGAACCACAGTTCTGCTTCTGGCTTTTTAGTGATTAATTGGAAATAAGATTCTCACAGAAGCTGAGCTGTAATTGCACCTGTAATCCTAGCTATTCAGAAGGCTGAGATCGGGCTGGGAAGGTGGCTCAGTGGTAGAGCGGTTGCCTTACATGCCTGAGGCCCTGGGTTCGATTCCTCAGCACCACATAAGCAAAAAGAAAAAAGCTGGAAGTGGTGCTGTGGCTCAAGTGTTAGAGCGCTAGCCTTGAGCTGAAGAGCTGAGGGATATCGCCCAGGCTCAGAGTTCAGGCCCCATGACTGGACCCCCCCCCCCAAAAAAAAAAGAAAAAGAAAATAAAGACTTGGAGAAAATTTATTTAGAAAAAATAAGAAGGCTGAGATCTGAGGATCATGGTTCAAAGCCAGCCTGGGAAGTCAAGACCATGAGACTCTTATCTCCAATAAAACCCACTAGAAAACTGGAAGTGGCGCTGTGCCCAGGCCCAGAGTTCAAGCCTCATGACCGACAAAAAAAAAAAAGATTCTCACAGACTTTCCTGCTCTGGCTGGTTTTGAACCGCAGTCATTAGGTCTCAGCTTCCTGAGTAGCTAAGATTATAGGTGTGAGCTACTGGCGCCCGACTTGTTCAACAATTCTTAATAAAAGTTTAACAACATTTTCCTAATTAATAATATATCTGTTTTTTGCGTGCCACTCATGGGGCTTGAATTCAAGGCCTGAGTGCTGTTCCTGAGCTTCTTTTGCTCAAGGCTAACATTCTACCACTTGATCCTAAGCTCCAATTCCAGCTTTTTGGTAGTTCATTGGAGATAAGAGTCTCACAGACTTTCCTGCCTGGGCTGGCTTTGAACTGCAATGTTTATATCTCAGCCTCCTGAGAAGCTGGAATTACCTGTGTGAGCCACCGGTGCCTGGCTTAAATAAAATATCTTATATGTTCAAGTTGAAATCTGATTTGCTCCAAATTAGACTGAAGTAAAACCTCAGTTTTTGAACATTAGTGGAGATGGAAATGCTCTCACACAAGTAAGCTCTTTGAGTTACTACAGCTTATCTGCTGTTTTGGCCAGCTTTTGAAGGGAAAGCATAGTGTGATGATAGTTTGGAAGGTAGTAGGGTCTAATTATTAGACCACAGTTTTAGACTCTAATAGTTAGCAAGGTGGGTGTGAATCCAACTCTGATGATGGTTTTGTTACTTGGTAGCTGTGAGGGAGGCTTTGAGTAAGTCACAACTCCTTAGTGTCTCAGTTTATAAAATGGGTATAATAATAGAACTTATAGGATTCTTGTGGAGATTAAGTTAATATATACAAAACACTTGGAACAAAGTACTATAAAATGGATGCTTTTATTATAACTAGAACATATTTTGAATAGTGTTTAGTGTGTAAAAATGCTCAGTAAACTTTAGTGATCACGGTTATTCCCACTATTCCTGGCCTTCAGCCTGGGTAGGAATCTCAGGTTGTCCCGGAAGCCCTCCCCTATGGTAGTCTGTTTGGGTTTTCAAGTAGAGGTTTAGATCTGAAGAGATACATCTAGCTCAACCCTAGAGTTTAAGTAGTATGTCCAAGGTTGGTCAGATAGGTAGTCATGGACTAAAACCTAGGTGACAGGACTAAGCCCAGGATTCCTGATTCTCTATTCTACTGTTCTTTCTATTGGTTCATGGAAAAAGGAATGTGTAGTCTGTTCTCAGCTAGAGGAAGCTTCTGAACCAGGCTTTGGAGGCATTAGTTGAGAAACTATAAAAGCTAAAGGAATCCAAATCTTTCTAGTTTCTTAGGTCTTTGCTGTTTTGTTCCTTCATGGAGAATTTGGTCATATACCTCTTCAACAGGGGAAATATTATTTATTTTGATTTGACTCGATGGACATCTCTCATATATTTTCTGGGCATCATAAATTGAGTGTATAGGGCACATTTTAATAGTTTTTGGTGGTATTGGGGTTTAAACTCAGGGCTTTGCATTTGATTTTTTTTTTTTTTGCTGGTCCTGGGGCCTGAACTCTGGGCCTGGGCACTGTCCCTCAGCTCTTCAGCTCAAGGCGAGCGCTCTGCCACCGGAGCCACAGCGCCACTTCCGGCTTTTTCTATTTATGTGGTGCTGAGGAATCGAACCCAGGGCCTCATGCTTGCAAGGCATGCACTCTACCACTGAGCTACCTTCCCAGCCCAGGGCTTTGCATT